ATTCGAATGATTCTGAAGAGACAAAACGCAGACTACAACTTCACTACTCTGTAAAAATCCCTTTAGAACAATTATATTTTAAAATGTTAATATTACTGGCTTTGAGTGGTTTTTAAGTTTCTTTCCTACTTTTCTGTAGTAAGTACATTACTTTTACAACTGAAAACATATTTTCCCTTCAAAATGCTTTACTTCACTGAATTTTCTTCTAGTGGAAAAACTTAGCTTACACTTAAGCTCTTGGGCTTACTCTATTTCACGCAATACCCCTATATTTCTAGGAGGTACTGAAGACTAGCTACAATGATTAAGAGCAAGCTCACCTATGAACGAAATGAAGACAGCGGAGGCCTGCATGAAAGCCATGACTTACCTTCCTGGCTTGTTCTTGTAAATGCTGGATTTGCTCCGCTATCACCGTCAGCTTGTTGGTGGCATTTGCCCGGACAAACTCATCGGCCTAAAGGTGAGAGAAAACTGAACTGTGGGCAGAAAAAGGATCAGATTTCTGTGATGCTTTTATTTAGATCTCAGTGTGAAGAGTTACATCAACATCTTTGCTTGTGCCTAAAATATTCTTCCCATCCTCACCATTCCCCCATGAACTCCCACTCATCTCAAAGCCCAGCTCAGATAGCACTGCTTATGAGACGCGAACCCTGCCACGACCCCACACCACAGGGTTAAGTGCTCCCTCTTGTCTACTTCCCACAGCTTTCCACCCTTTCCACTCCCTGTTCTAGCCACACAGAACTTCTTTGGTCCATGACATACTCTGTTCTGTCTTGCTACCAAATATATTGATTATGCCCTCTCCTCCATCTGATACATTTTTCCCTCTTGCTCTTTCTGACTAACCCCACTTATTCCTCAGATCTCCGTTTATTTTCTCATGTTTAAACATTTCTGAAATCAGGGATGTTTTACTTGAAAATCCAGACACTTAAGATACAGCTCTTATCACCTGTTACATAGGAATCTAGCTACACACAGAAAGTCTCTGTTAACAGGACCATTAGCTCAGTTGAACCGGTATTTATACTCATAATCATGATTTAAAACATTTTAAAAGATTTCACTATGGTGTAGATCTGAAACAAAGCTGTAATGCATACATAAGACTGTCATGTGCTAAAAAATGTAATAGAAGGCAACAGAAATTGCTCAAAATAAATTGAATAAAGTTGAAAGCTAGGAGACATGATGTGACCAAATGATATATTGGGAAGATCACCACTCAAGCATCAGAAATCTGTCAAAAATTTTCAGCCGAGCCTGGCTGGAAATTGAACCAGCTGCACATGCCTGGGTTGCAGGCCAGGTCCCCTGTTGGGGGCACACAAGAGACAACAAGTTAACCAATGTTTCTCTCCCTCTTTCTCCCTCCCTTCTCCTTTCTCTAAAAATAAAGAAATAAAATCTTTTAAAAAATAACCTTTCAGCTTACTTTCAAGAACAGTTGATTAACTTCCAGTACTATACAATTAAATTAAGGAAAAAAAATTAGGAGGTTAAACTTGAACTAATTTACTGGTTAGTTGAGGGAGATTAAGGTAAAAGTCAGGTATAAGCCAGTGTTAAGAGTGAACAGAAACAATTGAGTAAGTTGAGTCAATCATTTATCTGTCCCACAAATATATATTTAGCAACTACTGCACGTCAGACACCGTGCTTGTCCCTGGATGTATTGGCAAACATGAGGGAGAGGTCCTTACCCTCACTAAGATTACAATCTAATGCAACTATCCTTTAGAATATAAAGCAAGTGGTATATGTAATTTTAAATTTTCTTGTAGCCATGTTAAAAGTAAAAATAAGTAAACTTAATTCTATTAATATATTTTACTTAACCCAATATATCCAACAATTATTTCAACATGTAATTAATATTTTAAAAATTGTTAATGAGGTATATTACATTTCAAATTAAGTGTATATTTTATACTCACAGCATCTATCAATTTGGATGCTAAATTTTCATTGGAAATACTTGATCTATATTTAGACTTTACAAAACTTACAGCTGAGTCAATTCACATACTCAAACTTTTCTACATATACTTAAAAGTTTCCAATAATTATTAGGTTTTAAACTTTAAGTTAATTAAAATTACATAAAATTTAAAGCCCTGGCTGGTGTAGCTCAGTAGATTGAGCACAGGCCTGTGAAACAAAGGATCGCAGTTCAATTCCCAGTCCGGGCACATGCCTATGTTGCAGGCCAGTTGCCAGTGGGTGACATATGAGAGACAACCACACACTGATATTTCTCTCCCTCTCTCCGAAAATAAATAAATAAAATAAAATTACATAAAATTTAAAATTCAGTTTCTCGGTTGCACTAACTATACATTCCAAGAGCTCGACAGCCATTATGGCCATTAGTGGCTACCATACTATATCATACAGCACAGCCCTAGTGAGTAATACAGACACCAAAATGAAAGATAATTAAAAATAGTATATTATATGGCCTTGGAACAATGACACTATTAAGATGTAAACAGCCACAATTATGTGGCAGAAGCAGATCAAAGAAAACAAATTAATGAAGTAACTGTTAGCAGGAGGTTTATTAGCAGGAGGTGGTTAGGACTGCAGACGTTGAAATGCAGGTATAGAGGCTTTCAAATTAATACTGTCATTTAAAATGGGTAGGGTATGGCTTTCTACAGACAAAACGCCCCACTGAGGATGTGACACTGAGTCGTGTCTGACTGAAAAGAAAGGATCAGCCATGCAAAAAACAGGAAAAGTTTCCAGGAACTTTTTAAAAAATATTTTTAAAAGATTTTATTTATTTATCTTTAAAGGGGAAGGAGGAGGGGGGATAAACATCAGTGTGTGGTTGCCTCTAATGTATCCCCTGCTGGGAACTGGCCTGCAACCCAGGCATGTGCCCTGACTGGGAATCGAACTGTGATCCTCTGGTTCACAGGCCAGAGCTCAATCCACTGAGCTACACCAGCCAGGGACCCAGGAACTTTTTTAAAGATGTTATTTATTTGTTTTTATAGAGCAGGGAGAAAAAGAGGGAGAGCAACACTGATTGGTTGCTTCTCGAACACCCCCAGCTAGGGCCCGGCCCAGGATGCCCAGACGGGGAATTGAAGCAGTGACTTTGTTGTTGGCAGGACAATGCCCAACCCACTGAGTTACACCAGTCAGGGCAGCTTCCAGGCATTTCTGAAGCCAGTGCAGCTGAAGAGTAGTTGGGGGGGGGGAGGGGGGCAGGGGGTGTAAAAAAGAGGGCAGGGACCAGATCACAGCCATAGCAAAAAATCTGCATTTTGTTCTAAGGACAAAGAGGCACCTCATGGCCAATGACAGAGTAAGTGGTTTCTAGATCTAAAGTAGTTTCTTTTTCTTATGGTGGTGCCAGCAAATCTGTTCCTTGTAAACACAAGAGCCTAATTAAAACACCAAGAAGAGTACCTATAATTAAGAAGCACGAACTCTGGCCTGAATCCTTCTGAGGCCCTTTACATACATTATGACTTCATTCTCCTGACCCCTTGTGAAGTTGGAGATGGTAACTTCATTTTCATCTCAGAAAGGTAAAGCAACCTGTTCAAGGTTTCACAGCGAGCAAAGATTTGGCCCTGGAAGCCTCCTTCCCAAAGAGTGATCCAATCAAACAGACCCAGGACATTCTTCTAACCATGAAAGTCCTGCTTTGCTCCCCACTTCTCTAGAAAATAGAAGGCCCACAATTTGAATGAACTGAGCTTTTGAGCTTTCCTAAACATTTGAATATTTTTTAATTAAAAAAAAACAAGTACAGAGATGTTTATGTGAGGGAATTTGAGTACATTAATTACTAAATATTTTTGAGCAAAACAAAGGCCTTTGAATGTGACCAAGGTCAAATGTGGTAGTGTATACAAGGAGGAGCAGATATCATAAGCTTTAAGGCAGCAGGGCCCGGTACAAATTGAAAAGGTTTCTACAACTGAAAGCCTTGGTAAGAGATTGGATGAAATTTGTTTTTTCAGAGCTTAGATCTAGGAACTCTCCCAGTTCAAACTCTGCATTTTATAAAGAAGCAGAGGTCTAGAGAAAACTGATTTGCCTCAAGTCACAGTGCAAGTTAACATCAAAAGTAGGGTTAAAACTCATGTGTCCAAATTCCAGTGCTTTTTCTGTTAGTTCACATGTCCTTCTTATTTTTCTTCTTTTAGCAATCAATGTTTAAGCACTAGGCTTGTCCAACCAATACCGTGTCCAGTGAATAATGACACATTTGAGACTCCTTGCCCATGTAGATGTTCTAAAAGCTCTCGGGTCACAGATAAGATCTTAAGGGAACAGTTTTAAGTGGACTATGCATCCCAGCAGAATGTATGCAAATGTTCCCCCACACTAAGTGGCTATGAGATTGGAGCCGTAAGGCTCAGGACCAAACCTGAACGAACATGGTTATTTACTTCCCCGGTCGCACCTCCTCACCTTCTGCACCTGCTCTGCGAGCGCCACGAGGTCTAAGGGGTCCCCGGCCCGGTGGGTGTGGTAGGGGCTCACTAGGGCCAGGCCGCCGGGGGTCGCGGTGAGCTCCACGAGGGCTCCTGCGACACACACCCAGGAACACAGGCCGTGAGGTCCCGCCCTCAGCCTCCCGCGGAGCCCGGCAGACTAGCTGCCCCAAAAAGCCCTCTTTTGACTCCCTCTTTGCCCCTTTGACTCCCGCCTGGAGTACCTCTCCGATCTGTCGCTGACTGAACTTGGTTTTCACGGACTCCCTCAGTCTGCGGGGGCGTCGCAGCGTCCTCCATGACAGCACCTTACCTCCCCACAGCCCTAACTGGCTGGGACGGAGGAGCAAGCGCACAAAGGCCCATGGGCGGAGCTTTCGTGTTCCCTGGCTATTGGACATCGGAGCTGAGAGCTCGGAGGCGGGCCTCTGAGGGGCGGGGTCCATGCTAGCCTCCAGTACAAGCAGAATCCAGCTTGAGAGGCGGGGCTTCACTCGGGGGCGGGGGCCTCAAGGGGGTGGGGCTCGGGGCTCCGGCCTCCCCAGCGGGTGGCTAGCAATCGGGTGAGGTCTGAGGAGGTGATGGCGGCACGCGTGCTGGAACTGCTAACAGCACTGCTAGCAGTTGCTGTCGCTGCCTCCCGGTCCCATGCTGAATCCGAGGCAGGGTGGGACTTGTCGGCGCCCGATCTGCTCTTTGCCGAGGGGACCGCGGCCTACGCGCGAGGGGATTGGCCAGGGGTAGTACTGAGCATGGAGCGGGCGCTGCGCTCGCGGGCCGCCCTGCGAGCCCTCCGTCTGCGCTGCCGTACTCGGTGTGCCGCCGATTTTCCGTGGAAACTGGATCTGGACTCGGCTCTTAGGCTGACGCAAGCCTGGGGCGCCGCCGCCCTGCACGATCTGCGCTTCTTCGAGGGCCTGCTGCGCCGCGCCGCCTGTCTGCGCCGCTGCCTTGGACCACCGGCCGCCCACTCTCTCAGCGAGGAGCTGGAGCTGGAGTTCCACAAGCGGAGCCCCTACAACTACCTGCAGGTCGCCTACTTCAAGGTGCAGACCTGTCGGGGCCGGGGTCCTCCTGGGCGGGGTTCAAGGCGACCCGGGGGAACTTGGGGAGCCTGGGAAGTGTCCGCGGAGAGGGAAGACGGTCTCTTGGCCCGGGAGCTCTCCTCGGACCCAAGGAGAGCAAGGACCCTGCCAAGAGACCTGCCTCACCCACTTCGTCTAATCAGATGGTAACCCCAAAGGTCCAGCCTAGGCACCCTCCAAGCAAAACTTGGCCTGTGTTTCCCTGAGGGACCTCCTAAAGGGAACTAAAGCGGCAGCTTGGGTCTCTCATCCTGATCTCGTTGTGAGTGTCCGAGTGAGAAGCTAGGACCTTTCTACAATTTCTTCCTTCCGGTTCATTTTCAGTGATGCTTTTCCTGCTGCCTGAGTGCCTCAGCTTTCTTTCAGGACGTGAGGTTGCCACGTCGCCAGTAGGGGCAGTCTGGCCCCTCCCTGTGGGGGACCCTCTGCCTAGTCTGTCAGGTTTCCAAAGAAAATGAGTAATTTTAGAAATTCCAGAGTGCCTTAAGTCCAAGTGTATATACATGGATTTGGCACCTGGAAACCTGGCTTGTTTGATGATGATGATGATGATGAAAGCCAGCACATACTTTCAGGCACTATGTGATTAATAGATTAACCTAGGGTTAATACGTTAACCCAGACCCTGGAATATCCTGTAAGGTGGGTACTATTATTAGACGTATTTCCTTGGGTGAAAAAAGAAGGAGCTGTGCTGCACATCTGCAATATTCGTAGTCTAACAGGCCTCCAATTCAATACAAAGGGAGACTTAGAAAACCTCGGGGACCTCAGATTTCCACTTCTCCACAAGTATTTTGTGTGCACAGCTCTGCTCCATTCCTCCTAGTTACTCAGAAGAGTACTGGGCTTGAAACTGAAATAACTGGGCTGCCTTTGCTCATTCACTTAACAGCACTTTTTAGAAGTCTTTGAGAAATGCTATTGAATACCCACTACATTCCAATTCTTGTACAGGTCATTAAAGTGCTTGACTTCATGGTTTTCTGTTTGTCTTGCTTTGCTGTTAAGAATCACTATAGTGAGGATTACTAAGGGTAGCTGTGTACATAGGGCTGTGGGTGCACAAAGGAGGGGGGTCTAGCTTCATCTCAGAGAAATCTGAGAGACTTGAAAGAAGAGGTGACATTTGAAGCTGATACTAGGCGTTACTGGAGGAGAGCAAGGATGGCCATTCCAGGTAGAGGGAGGCCAGACCGGGAAGAGAATTCTGTAGGCTGCAGGAAGCCATCATTAAACTGGGTTTTAGAATGTTACTTAACCCTGGAAGCCATGTGGAACGGGCCTTGGAAGGAGGAGAAAGTGATGGCAGGACGAACCATTAGGAGACAGTGCAGCTGTTCACATGAGAGAAGGAAACTAGTGCACAGGGCTGGGGCGGAGTGGGGAGAGGGGGAAGAACAGAGAAAGCAAGAGCAATGCTGAGAGATGAGAGAGAGAATAAATCCATTAAGGGAATGGGCTTGAGAGAATGGAAACCGAGGTACAGAGATGGGGAGTATTGACCTTGGGTCACAGTTGGGGCTGACTCCTTGTTTAGTGTGCACTTACTGGGACCACTGATCAGAAAAGAAAAATTTCTACCATATTAATAAGATGCTAAGATTTACATTTATTGAGCACTTACTATGTGCCCGGCGCCATGTGTTAAAAACCGCATGTATTTTATCTGGTTTGACCTTCCCAGCAATGCTATGAGGTAGTGAGTGCTGTCTCCAGATGACAGATTAGGGAACCGATCTGTAAACTTTAACTTGTCTAAAGCCCCCAGCAAGGGAATAATTAAACCTAATTTTAGCCCTGGCCAGGTAGCTCAGTTGGCTGGAGGGTTGTCCCAATATGCCCAGTTTGGGAGTTCAGTCTCCTGTCAGGGTACACACAGGAATCAACTGATGAATGCATAAAGAGGTGTAACAGCAAATCGATGTTTCTCTCTGCCTCTGTCTCTCTGTCTCTCTCTCTAAAATCAATTAAAAAAGAAAAGAAAACCCTTGACTTATCACTGGTCTGTCTGCCACCAAAACTATTAATCATGAGATCATTAGTGATTTATTTCTGTGTCACTTTAATACGCTGGAGTCCATTGCTATGAGCATTATGGTGGCCTGTGGCACATCTCCCCCCTCAGACGTCTGTGGAGCCACTTGCTTTAACCACGTGAGTCAGAAGATGCCATGCCTGGATTGCGTAGGAGCGTGGGATTTTTCAGCCACCTATCTTTTTCTTGAATGTGTAGAAACACTTATTATTTTATGCCAAACAAACGTTCTTTCTCTAGGCGAATTCTTAGGCATGGTCTGTTAACTTCTCTTTCTTCCCTAACCCTAAATCCATAAGGCCTTAGATTTTTTTCAGCTCAGTCTGTATATCTGAATCTTGAGAACATATTATTTGGGTAGTGAGTCTTCTGTAGCGTTCCCCCTGTAATACAATCTTTGTTCAAAAACAATGTTTGCACCTGTTGAAGCATTACCTCCTATAATTTGGGGACCCCCTAGGCCTGATTTGGGAAATAGCTGAAAATCTGCCCTGGGCCCTGGGCTCTGTCATACTCGTTGGTAGTTCTTGCCAGAGGCGTGTTTTCTGGGGCAGGCAGGGGTTGGGGCCCACTGAGTGGAAGGCTCAGGAAGGCTGACATTTCCTGTTTACCGTGAACTGTGTATTTGGACGCAGACCTTCAGGTTTGGGCGGCGAGAATCAGGGTCTCGTGCTTCATTCTCAGATAAACAAGTTGGAGAAAGCCGTGGCCGCAGCGCACACCTTCTTCGTGGGCAACCCTGAGCATATGGAGATGCGCCAGAACCTGGACTACTACCAGACTATGTCAGGGGTGAAGGAGGCCGACTTCAAGGATCTGGAGGCCAAACCTCATATGGTGAAAAACTTGATCCTCTTCTCTCTTTTTGTTACAGCGACACTTTCTGGGGTTGTTTTCTGATGACAGAAGTAACATATGTTCACTGTACACCATTAGAAAAACGCAGCTAAGTGTAAAGCAGAAAAGTGATCATGTATAACACTACCACCTTAGGAAAACCGGTAGATGATATTTTGGCCTCTATTTTAAGTATTTGGGATGTGATTTTTAATTTGAAGTCATGTTCTATGTGTATTTTTTCATCCTTCTTGAACTAACATTATATCATGAGCCTTTTCTCATGTCTTCACATTTTCTTTTAAAACACATTTTTAATGGCCACATGATGTCCATCTTACACACAGATTGCGTTCATTCACTAGGCACAATTTTATGGTTGTGTAGGTTTTGCTTTTCACTGCAGTAAGTGGTACACTATTCCTGAATGTTATCATTCTTTGTTTAGCAGGAAAAGTACGTATTCCGTAAGAGATGTCTGAAGCGACACAGCACTTTTTATAAAGAGCTTATGTTCTCTTAAGGCTTAACAGTTTAGAAATAGAGATACTTGTTTTAGAAACAATATCAGAACTACTTTTAACTGTAAATTCTGTACACAGAGTACATTATACAGCTGCACACAGCTTGGGGGGGGGTTCTGTTGTTTTTTAGTGATTCTGTGACACATGCAAATGGCCACTGTCCACGGAATGGGACCTGCGTCCCACAGACAGCAAAGACAAAGCCTGCCATCGCTGCCCAAGTCATTCTTCTGCTGGGAAGATGGGCCCCATCACCACAGGCCACGCTGTAACATTTTAAGAGTTAAATTTTTTTCATTCAAGTTTTATTTTGAAAACTTTAGCCCGACAGAAAAGTGAAGCAAATTACAATGAACTCCCACATCTTTCATGTGGATCTAGCAAAATGTTTTTAAATTTCAAAAGAAACAAGTCAAGACCATTTACCAAAGGCTTTCATTTGTAGCAGCCACCCTTCCCACCTGTCACCTGAGAGGAGCAAGCAGTGAGGACCCTCCCAAAGGTGGCAGGGGACGAGGAGCGGGCTGTCGGTGGCCTGCGTTTGAGTACTCCTTCCTCCCAGTAGGACGAGTTCCGACTGGGAGTGCGACTCTACTCAGAGGAGCAGCCTGAGGAAGCCGTGCTCCACCTGGAGGCGGCGTTGCGGGAGTACTTTGTGGCGGACGAGGAGTGCCGGGCCCTCTGCGAAGGGCCCTACGACTATGACGGCTACAACTACCTCGAGTACAATGCGGACCTCTTCCAGGCCATCACAGGTGCGTGGCTCACAGCACAGCCCGCAGTGGCCAGGCCTGCCTGAGCTCTAAGGACACGTCCTGATAACACACTCACAGCATCTTCAACTTCATTTCTAAATTTCTTAAATCTGGGAATCTGACTTAAAATTGGTTCCATTAGAATTTGTTATCTTAACCAGAATTTGAATCCTGAAGATTGACCTAATGGCTATTCCCCCCTTTTGACTCTTTTCAGATCATTACATCCAGGTCCTCGGCTGTAAGCAGAACTGTGTCTCTGAGCTGGCTTCCCACCCAAGTCGGGAGAAGCCCTTCGAAGACTTCCTCCCGTCACATTATAATTACCTGCAGTTTGCCTACTATAACAGTAAGGCCAGCTCTCCTCTTTCTTTGCTGCTTTTATGTAAGGAGCCAAAAGCAGGGTAGGCAGGGATCATGGCCACTGGGTTTCAAATCGTCTGGCTTCTCTCTGTGGCTGTGGAAGGCACTGTGCCAGGTGACCCCTGGGTGCTTTGTCAGAAGCACTGGCCAATGAAGCCAATACCAGCCGCCTGAAAAGCTGAAAGACGGAGACTCAAGGATCTCTCTCTCTCACTTGTCCTTTCTGTGACATTTATAACCTAACATTGCATCTGAATTAAGTTACAGCAAGGCTAGGGTGTACCATTGAAACCAGCTCTAGGGCATTTCTCAGCCCTTCTCCTTTACATATATTACTGAAGCTCTGGTTGGAGGGGGTCAATATCCAGCCAAACAAGTCAGCGGGCCTTTACTGAGCTTCTATTGTGTGCTAAGCATTATAGGTGTATTCATAAGCATGAGGTATGCCCAGAAAGTGTCCAGCCATGTAATATGAAAAACAGACATTCACTGAAGAAGATACAAGAAACACTGTACATAGGCCCTGGCTGGTATAGCTCAGTGGATTGAGCGCAGGCCTGCAAACCAGAGGATCATGGTTCGATTCCCAGTCAGGGCACATGCCTGGGTTGCAGGCCAGTTCCCTGCAGGCTATTTCCCAGCAGGAGAAGCACTAGAGGCAACCATACATTGACGTTTCTCTCCCTCTCTCCTTCCCCTCTAAAGATAAACAAATAAAATCTTAAAAAAAAAAAAGAAACGTTGTAATAGGACAATGACACCTTAGTCCCTTTTGAAGTAGGCACCTTGCAACCTCACACAGTTCTCCCAATCTCCATCACCTGCTCTGTTGTATTTTCCTGCATTTCACTGATGATATGAAATCTCTTCCCTTTCAAAGGTGATTTTACTTTTGGGAAAAGCCAAGAGTCACAGGGTGCCAAGACTGGCCTGAAAAGGTGCTGAGTCACCTGGGTGATTTGATGTTTCACCAGAAAACTCTGCGTGAGACGTGATACATGAGCGGGCGCATTGTCACGATGAAGCTGCCAATCACCAGCTGCCCATGGCTGCAGCCTTCTGGATCATCAGCGGAATGTTCAAGTTTAACACCAAATTTGATGCAGATTCACTGCTCTGCTCACTCAGTTATTTGAATGCAACAGGCACACGGTGCATGTGCTCATTCATTGGCGTCCACCACCCCCACTGACCAGTACAGTGAAGTCATCATTGTTCGTTCAGGCACACTCCAGTCCGTTCTTGGCTGCCAGGTTACACTGATGTCGTACAAACCATTGTCACTATATTAACAATGGCTGGACTTTTTCCAGACAGACCTCATATACAATGTTTGTAGTTGAGATGAGGAGACAAACACATAACAACAAAGAGGCAATGTACTATTGTAAAATCCATAGGGGAAATAAGGTAGGAAGATGGGAATATTCCTGAAATTGGTCTAATTTTGAAGCCAGTGTTTTAATTACCTTTTTGAAACTGTGGGCACACAGAGGGTTCAAATTCTTTTGTTTCAATATTAGACAACCCTGAGGATACTGAGCACCCTAAAAGCAATTCTGTATTCTACATTTATATCACTTCTATCCTTACTCTCCTATAACGTCTCCCCCAAAATCCAGTGAGAATGAACACTAGGACTCATACCCAGGATCAGACCCTTCTCAGCCATTTTTTCTTTCCCTTTACAGTTGGAAATTATACACAGGCTATTGAATGTGCCAAGACCTATCTCCTCTTCTTCCCCAGCGATGAGGTGATGAAACAGAATCTGGCCTACTACACCGCCACGCTCGGAGAAGAGCAAGCCAGATCCATAGGCCCCCGTGAGGTGAGAGATCTGTATCAGTTAGGGAAACTGCCGGCTGAGTCCGGACCAGAGGGCGGAGAGCGAGGTAGAGGAGGGGAGCTGGCACTGCTTGTGTGCAGTGGGGACAGGGTGCCCAGGCAGGGGGAGTGCGCTGGGCCCTTGTCACGGGGAGAAAAAGAGAGCCCAGGAAGGATCTGGGGCCCGAAGTGTGTTCCCCGAGTTGTCAAGGAGAAGCAGACCTGCAAAGCAGCATGTCTTCCCCTTTTTGGCAAACCCCCTACTGTGAGACTTGATACCATGTAGCCAAGATTGATCATTTTTAACATCACACTGATTTTTTTTTTACTCACAAGCGTTCACTCTCCATTTTCCTCCCCATCCCCTTCTTTCTGCCATTGTCTGATCTCTCCCTCTTTTAGTATCCCCATCTCCCTCCAACACGAGCAGAAAAACCTATATAATGCAGTGACCAAAGTGAAATGCACTGAAGTGTTAGCAATGGTTATTGCCGAGTAGTACAATTATGGGTTTTTTAAATAAAAATATAGCTTTATATTTTCTAAATTCCCTGCAGTGATTGAGTGTTATTTTTGTAATGGAAAACATGAAAAGTTCTCTTTCTAACTTAATGAAGTTTGATACTCTAAACCTTGATATTTGTACATGAGTCTTACACAGACTTATGTGGCTTGAATGCTGGTTTGCAAACCAAAGGGTTGCCAGTTCAATTCCCAGTCAGGGCACATGCCTGGGTTGCAGGCCAGGTCCCCAGTAGGAGGCGTGCGAGAGGAAACCACACACTGATGTTTCTCTCTCTCTCCTTCCCTTCCCCTCTCTCTAAAAATAAATAAAATCTTTTTTTAAGTTGTATTGAATATATAAATGTAAATAATAAATATAACAAGACCTATTTATGATTTTTTGAAATACATATATAGGCTTTAAATTTTAAACTGCAAACTTTCTGTACAGACAGATAAAAAACTGTTCATCATAATGACCCCTGAGGCATGAGCCTACAGATCACCGGTGGCAAGGGAGACTGAACCTTCTTTCTATGGCTGTCGATACTCTAGATTCCCTTTTTTAACTATATATGTCTTTTTGAATGTCATCTGAAACACACCTTAGGGCACTTATTATAAAGATATATAAGCTATATAATACAAAATTTATATAAGACTCTAGCGCATATAATAGTAGACAGTGAGTACAAGCTGGAGTGGAAACGTGGAGGAAAAGTAATCGAGTGGTGGGTCAGGGAAGGCGTCACAAGAGTGCTGTTGACGTTGGGTTTAAAAGCCTTCAGTGGGTGAATGGGGCAGGAAAGGTCCTCTTAGACAGAGAACGGCATGTGCAGACAACATGGGCTGTTGTCCTACGTTAATGAAAGATGATACTGGGGAGCTACAGGAGCTGAGGCTGGGGAAGGTCCGAATTTGAAGGATCTTGAGTGCCCCACCTGGGTGACTCAGACTGGAGGGGGCTGGAAGGAGGCTACCGTGGTGGTGTGGAGGGATCACTGAGGCCCGAGTGAGGCAGTGGCCAGTGCATGGGAACTGACGAGGTGGAAGTAGGAGGTGGAATTAGCAGAATGTGGCGGGTGTTTTCACTCCTCCCGCCCCTTCCTGTCTCATGAGGCAGCAAGTTCGCGCCTGGGAGACGCATGCGTGGTGCTGCTCACCCAGCTCAGGAACACACAGGGGAGCAGGAGGCTGCCCTCACCCGGCTCCTGGCCTGCTGCTACTGCAGCCCGGGGTGGCTGATTTTCCTCTGGTCACTGGGAGCAGGAGGTAGATGATGTGGCAGTAACAGCCTTCCCGCTCTGGTTGTTGTGGTGGTTACTGTTGGAAATAACCCTTCCAATGTGTGTGGCGTCATGTAGCTTACACAATTCTTTCACAGCTTTTATTTCATTTGATTCTCAAAACAACTCGGTGAGGTGGGGTCATCAACCTACGCTGAAGAAAAATACCAAGATTCTGCCTAGCTCTGGAATCTGAGCATCCAACAGAAAAAAACCCTTCTCTGACCATCCTGACCATCCATCCTCTCCCACTGCGAGACGGGCTACCGTGCAGTTGACCTCTTTGGCCACTAGATGGTGATCATCTGGATTTGAGACGGCACTTCTTCCAGTCTCTTTGTCTTGCTGAGAAAGACCTTTTTTTCCCCTTCTTTCTTTTTCCTTTTATGGTCATATTAGTGAGTCTGGGGGGGTAGAGAGGAAAATGAGCCCAAATGATCCATCTGCCATTTTTAACTAGGACTTTTCCTTCTGGAAAGAAGGTAGCTAACATTTGTTGAGCCCAGCGCTGTGCTGGGTGGCTTCCCGCACTGGGAGGTGAGTTCACCTGCACAGTGGTCTGGCTGGAAGTGGTGACCGGAACCTCTGTTCACCTGCTCTGTCCCAGGGTAGGCTCAGCTCCTGAGCACAGCCGATGCTCAACAGATGGGCATTGAGTGAATAAACGCTAGAAGGGGGAGGTGCCCCCTTGGCAGCCTTACAGAACCAGCAGGAGGGTTGGGCGAGGCAACATACCTAGCCTGGTGTCTAGCAGCTAGGAAAGGAGGCAGTCACTTAAACTCTGCAGGAGAAAATTCCCATCTTCCTCATGGGTAAATACAGTAGATGGTATAGGGCTCATTGACATCGTTAACACTTCCCTTACTGCCCTCATCTTTTATTTCAACTGATGATGTCTTTTTCTTTTCCTTCCTCTGCTGCCTGGAGACTAGCAGGGCACCTAGGGAAAGATGTGGCCCCGGAAGGTACTCAGTTTCCCTGCCCCGGGGGAAGCCCCACCTGTGAGCTCTTGTGGGAAGGGCCGGGTGCCCCAGCTGCTCTTGCTGCAGCTGCCTGTCTATCCTGTTTGAGGGGGGACACTGTCCCTAAAATGAGTCATAGCTCCCCTCTGCACCTCAGTGCCTTCATCTGTGGAATGAGCATAATAGTACCAATCTCAAAGGTGGCTGTAAAGAGTCGGTGAATAACAGTCAAGTCGCCCAACCCGGAGGTTTCCTTTCTGAGGATTAAACTGCAGAAGTCAAGAAGGAACTCTCCTTTGAGAAATATTTTCACACCTCCTGAGAGTCATCAGAGTTTCTGTCCTGGAGATTAATGGGGGTCTCGGGGGAGGATGGGGGCCCTTTCCCTTCAAGGGAAGCCTGGTTATGCCACCCTCAGAGGTTCTGCTTAAGCGAGACAAGAGGAACCGTTGAGCACAGAAGTGAGACTTGTCTGTGACTGGGGAACAGACACTCTACTCTAGTGACAGGGGGGAGAAGCCCCAGTTCCCACTGGGAGTGACATGTCGGATGCTGGGGCAGCTCCCCCAAGAACTAACAGACAGGGCCAAGTTCCAGGACACTGCTTCCACTTTGTTTCTTCAGAGTGCCCAGGAGTACCGACAGCGAAGCCTGCTGGAGAAGGAACTGCTTTTCTTTGCTTATGATGTTTTCGGAATTCCCTTTGTTGACCCGGTGAGCCAGGGTGCGGCGGTCGGGGGGGATTAGAGAGCCTGAGGGGGCAAGGGATGGAAGTGAGTGGTGCACTGTGCGACTTGGGGGAGAAAGCTGTTAGCAGGTGAGCCAAATGTGGTATCTGAAACCTGTGGGTGAGAGACAGAAAATGACAAAGGGAGGTTCTGGGCAGCTAGCTGGAGCCGACTCAGGTTCGGGGACCTCTCAGTTCCTCTCCTAAGACCAGGCAGGTGGCAGGGGGGTTCTCCTGTAGGCCCTACTCTGCGCCCGGAGAGCTGGAAGGTGAAGCAGGTCAACCTACGCTGTTCATTTTTTCCTGACCTGTGTTTAGGACTCCTGGACTCCAGAAGAGGTGATCCCCAAGAGATTACAAGAGAAACAGAAGTGAGGGCCTTGAGGAAACTGCATGCTTGGATCTGTCTGGTGACGCGCCGAGGCTTCCTGAGCCCAGGCCGATGCGACCTCCGGCAAGGGGTGGGCAGGTCCAGTCTGGGAAGCCGGGTGGGAGCCAGGACCAGCCCCGGAACGCAGTCCTCAGTGCGGCTGTGCTCGCAGGTCAGAACGGGAGACAGCCGTCCGCATCTCCCAGGAGATCGGAAACCTGATGAAGGAGATCGAGACCCTCGTGGAAGAGAAGACCAAGGAGTCGCTGGATGTGAGCCGGCTGATGCGGGAAGGTGAGAGGGCGGCACTCGGGCGTCTGCGGCTGTCCCGGCAGCAGCGAGGCAGCACCGGCGGGGCGGCGCCCTGGCAGCACCTCCGTGGGCCAGCCGCAGGGTCTGAGCCGGCGTGGGATCAGGGTGTAATCTCGCCTCACTGTCCCTTCTAACTCACCCACAGGACTTCCACCTGGAAAGAGCACTGAGAATTGGTTTTTGTTAAAGAAATTAGACTCTTGTGTCAGGTAGCATGGGTTCAGGGAGTGTTTGTAGGACAGAATCATCCTGCCTCTCCGCTTCCATCATCTGCCCCACCATCAGGCCTCAAAATCTTCACGTCTCCTTTGGTTCCTGCCCCGCCACCCCCCACCCTCCAGTCCTCAAGGGAGGTCTTCCGATTACAGACTCGCTTCTGCTCTCACCGCAGCCGCTTTGTTTCCTGTTGCCTCAAGCCTGCCTCGGGCCCCAGCACCTCCTGTCTGCCCTTGTCCCTCCCCTTCCTGTCTGACCTTGCCCTCCCACGTGGGGTCCAGACCAGTCTTGCACACGTGAGAATTCTGACCTCATCTTCCCTGCGGGCCCCTTCAACTGTGGGCTCTGCTCTGACCACCCCCACCACACCCCCATGAGGGAGATGCCCCTGTACAGATGAGAAAATTAAGGCACAGGGAGGTTAAATAACTTGCCAGTGTTACACAGCTCGTTCCTGCAGGAGTCAAACCCAGTCCTTCAGACGGGGTGGGACTCCGTCGTAGGGATGTGGAGGGCCGGAGAGCCAGTAGCCGTTTGGGAGCATAGCTCAGGCGGGGACTTGGATCTCAGGTCTTCAGCGTCACGCTGTCCTCTGGGCCACGCTGCCTGTGGAGGTGGCCAGGTGGGAGGTTTCTCTGGTGGACAGGGAACCACGGGGTCTCTGTTCCTCACAGGGAAGCAGCACCCGAAGTCTCCGGACAGAGTGGCCCTGGACTGAGCAGGTCTTGTCATTGCTTTGCAGGCGGCCCGCTGCTCTACGAAGGCATCCAGCTCACCATGAACTCCAAAGTGTTGAATGGCTCCCAGAGGGTGGTGATGGATGGCGTCATCTCTGATGACGAGTGCCGGGAGCTGCTACGGCTGAGCAACGTAAGGGAAGCCCACAGTCCACACCTGCTCCTGAAGGAGAGAAGGTGGCCCCAGCCTCCCCCCACTCGGTGCCTCCTGGGCTGAGGGCGCGAGATGAGGTGGTCAGCCCCCCTGGCTAACTCCACCGGTTCTGTGGGTTTGCAGGCAGCAGCAACCTCAGGAGATGGCTACCGGGGCCAAACCTCCCCACACACCCCCAATGAAAAGTTCTATGGCGTCACTGTCTTCAAAGCCCTGAAGGTACAGTCAGTGCTCAGCGTTCCGGAGGGTGGACAGGGGCAGGGAGGCCAGGCTTGGGGAGGAGCTGGGGGTGGTGGGAGAAAGGTTAAAGCTGTCTGTCTGTCCGCTTCCCAGCTGCCACGGAGGGCGGGTAAATTACTGTGAGCTGAGGTTAACTTTGGGATTTGGGCTGTTGGACCACGAGTTATAAAATGAGGCAAGCACGATAAGAGCGATGTCCAAAGCTGCGAGGGTGCTTTCTGAAGAAGGGCTGGCGCCCGCACCTCTGCGTGGCACACACGCACTGCTCCTAAGGAGAACATGAGGGAGAGGGAGAGCGTGATATGTTGGGCCGTCGTGTGCGGGGAGCAGAGAGAGACTGCGCCTTCGTTACAGGGGCAGGAGGGGGGCCCCGGGGCTCAGGCGTCCCTGTCGGCCCGCAGAGGGGCATTCAGGGCAGCCGACCACTGGTCTCCTTGGCAGCTGGGACAGGAAGGGAAGGTTCCTCTGCAAAGCGCCCACCTGTACTACAACGTGACGGAGAAGGTGCGGCGCGTCATGGAGTCCTACTTCCGCCTGGACACCCCCCTCTACTTCTCCTACTCCCACCTGGTGTGCCGCACTGCGATCGAAGGTGGGCCTCCTGCTCCTGCAGCCTCCGCAGAGCACGCGCTGTGCCCGAGCCCTGGCTGGACACTGAGGACATGAAGAAGAGCGGGACACGGTCCCTTTCGTCCTCCTTGGGGAAGCAACATAAACAATAAGTGGCAACGCAGTGTCATAGTACAGGGGAGGAAGTTACAGTTGTTCTACCAGGCAGCCAGGAGGGCTTTCTGGAGGAGGCGATGACTGCTGTGCAGGCTGAGTAGGAGTTCGGGAGCGCACGGGGTTATGTTCAAGCCAGAGAGAACAGCATGTGCAGAGGAGTCGAGGCCCTGAGCGACCCGGTAGCTGGTGGGGCTAATGAGCAAGTTGCCGTTCCGGAGGGTAAGGTTAAAGAGGGGAGCAATCAGATACGGGCGGTGAGATCCTCAGAAGCCAAATTTGGAGAGACACTTTCCAAGAGTTTCTTTAGGCTGGGCATCCCACGGACCCTGGCTCATGTTGGGAAGCACCGCCCTGTGGCCCTGTGGCGACGGGACAGCCGCAGTGTCTCCTGAGGTACCTCGGCGCTAACACGTGTTACCTTGGTCCCAGAGGCACAGGCTGAGAGGAAGGACAGTAGCCACCCCGTCCACGTGGACAACTGCATCCTGAACGCCGAGGCCCTCGTGTGCATCAAGGAGCCCCCCGCCTACACCTTCCGGGACTACAGGTGCCAGCTCGCCCGCCAAGCCCCCCAGTGCCCTGCACTTCCCCCAATACACACGGGTTTGGGAGCAGCTGTCCCCAGAGTCCAGTCCCTGTCCCCAGTCCCTCTGGATAGGAAGTCAGACAATCCGGAAGTTGTCACAGAGCGATGTGATGAGTAGGGCCGCGAAAGGGGCACTTGGTACAGAAACGGCACACCCTTGGTACAGAGAAGGGTGTGGTGGCTTCTCTCTGGCAACAGGGTAGGGGTGGGATGGTTGGGAGTGATCTGTGAGGCTTCAGAGAAGGTTCTAGAAAGCTTTCTTCCTGTGAAAGGCCCCCTCCGGCTGTCGGTCGGGGCACTTGGGGATGAAGGCCCCGGAGCTGCGGGTTGCGTGGGGAGCGGGCAGAGCAGAAGGTCTGTGTCCAGATGCTCTGTGCCTTTCCCAGCGCCATCCTTTACCTAAACGGGGACTTCGACGGAGGGAACTTCTATTTCACTGAACTGGATGCCAAGACCGTAACCGTGAGTGTGTCCTTGTCCCGCCCCCGAGAGACAGACACCCTCCGAGCGCAGGGCAGACAGTCAGCCTGTCCTCGTGGCCAGTGCGCCACTCCCCGCACCAGCGGGCTGTGAGGTGTGCTGGTCGCTCCTCTGACTGGTCACCTGTACTCTTCAGCTCTGGTCTTTGGGGAGCCACCCTCAATTGTAGACCCTAATGATCCACGTGTCTTCTGAAGGCAGGTCACGTCTGTGTCCCCCTTTGTGCCCACAGGCAGAGGTGCAGCCCCAGTGCGGAAGGGCCGTGGGATTCTCCTCTGGCACAGAAAACCCGCACGGAGTGAAGGCCGTCACCAGAGGGCAGCGCTGTGCTATCGCCCTGTGGTTCACTTTGGACGCCCGACACAGCGAGAGGGTGAGAGCAGCTGGTGCTGCTGGGACCTGGGAGCGCCCCCCCCCCCCCCCCCGCCAGCCCCCTGCCGACAGCAGCTTAGGCGTGAAAGGTGCTCTGGGCTTGAGGGCTGGGGAGTCCGAGACTCCTCGCTTCAGCACTGTGCCATCGTGGTCACTTTGCCTCATCCCCTCTGGCCTTCCTCCCTGCTGTAACGGGGCTCCACAGGCTTGGAGCAAGATGGGGAATGACCCTGGTGTTTGGCTCCTCGTTGGCGCCTCCTCAGCTGGCTCTGCCCAGAGAGCAGGACCTGCTGGGAAGGAGGTGAACTCAGAGGCCACCGAAGAGGAGCCTCCTTGTTCCCTGGGAAGCAGCACTGAGAGGTGATGGGTGGCTGGTCTGAGGGCTTCTCTAAAGAGCAGGGCTCTGTCCTTGCAGGACAGGGTGCAGGCAGACGACCTGGTGACAATGCTCTTCAGCCCAGAAGAGATGGACCTCGCCCAGGAGCAGCCCCAGGAAGTGCAGCAGGGGCCCCCGCAACCTGCAGAAGAGTCTGTCTCCGGCAGTGAGTCAGGGCCCAAGGATGAGCTCTGACAGCAGCCGGCTCGCATGGACTAGTGGTTAGACCCCCTGCGGGGACTCTGCCTGCGGCCTGGACTGGCCAGCTGCTGGGAGCCGTGAGCAGCGGGACACTTACATCTGCGGTCCAGCGAGGGGACCTGCTCACAGCTGTCCGCACGGTGCTGCTGCTCGTGGAGGGGGATGGCAGGACGGCCTGCTGCCCTGTGGACCTGGCCGAGGGCTCGGGACCCAGGCTCAGAGCCGCCACCAGGTGCCTGCACGGGCAGCCTCGTGGCAGCAGCACAGTATTTAAGTGTCTGTGCAGACACCAAAGAATAAACGATCGGTGTTTTTTACTCCATCGTTTGTTCAGAGAATAGAAACATGCCCAGAGCAGCCTCGGGTGGACCCAAACGGGGGGCCTTGGCGCTGCCACCTGTACAATGGGGGTCCCAGTACTCGCCTTGCCCAGCGTGTGGGCAGTTGTACGGCCCAGATGCAGTATCGCATGTGACAGCACTTGGTGAACTGGAACGCTCTGGGTGAATGGCGGGATTATTGTTAATCCTTCCCTGGCAAGGAGCAGCTGGTCAGCCACATGCGTCCTGTCTGCTGCCTGGCCGTGGTCCCCGTTCCTCGGGGCCTCCGTGTGCAGGACAACACGCACCTCCAGGAGACGGCAAAGGAGCGGAACTGAAGATTCGTGTCCTTCCACCACGAGCGCCTCTCCTCGCCGGGGCTGGGGATGCTGCGGTGCAGCGAGTCGGGGGGCCCGTACTCCATGCCCGTTTGTGCAGTTGGCCAGGGTTCGAGGGCACCCGCTTAGTGCCAGCACTGTGGGCGCGGCAGGAAACAAGCCCCAACCCTCTGGAGCCTGTGTGTTAGTAGAGGAGACGGGGAAGAAGCGTGTGGTGTCTGTGTCTGTGTGATCCTCTGACACAGAAAAGAAGGCAGGTGAGGCCCTGAGGAAGCGGGAATGACCAGGAGGCAGCGCAGCAGCACGGAACGGGTCAGGAGGGGGCAGCTGTGAGCCAGGACCTCGGGACCTCGTTGGCACCGTGAGCCCTTGGGCTCCAACTCTGAGACGGGAACCCTTGGAGGGTTCTGAGCACAGAGGTGGCAGCATCTGGCATGTGTTTGAAAGGCCTCGGTGAAGAATGTGCGTGGAGGAAGGGCCGTGGGGGTGGGGATGGAGACAGGGTACGGCTGCAGTAACCCCGAGAGAGATGGAGGTGGCAGAGGTTGGGGGTCAGCACTGAAGGCAGTGAGAAAGCGCAGGTGCTGGGTCTGCTCCAGGAGAGCCTGCAGGGTGGCTGGCGGATTAGATGGCTTGTGAAAAGGAGCATCGATGCCGGCCCAGGGCCGCGGGAGCAATGGCGATGCAGAAGCCAGGACGCTGGCTTTGCCCATGTGACACCGAAGTTTCAGGATCCTGTCATGTATCCAAGTGGAATACCGAAGAGAGAGTCAGACAGGTGAGTCAGCAGTTGAGGGAGTGGTAGAGGTCTCGTGACCCCGGAGTCACCGTCACCGCCTGGGTGGTGTTCGAAGCTAGGAGACCGAGGTCAGTGTAGACAGAGGAGGAGCCAGAGGACAGGCTGGCTGGAGGCGTCAGGGCCAGAGGACACAGATCCGACAGAGTCATGAGCAGGGGACCCAAGAGGGACAGAAGCCTGGGAGCTGGTGAGAGAGGTGCAGGAAGGAGCGAGCAGCGCTGTCGAATGCTGCCGAGGGGGTGAGCCAGGGAGGAACTGAGAACCCACGTTGGGTTTGCCAACATGGAGGTTAGTGAGAACTTCAGCAAGCGATGTTTGGGAGGGGCGTGGGCAGAAGGTGGGCTGGAGCGGGCTGAAGTGAGAAGGGTAGGAGGTGCTGGCAGGCACAGACAGTGCTTCTCAGGAGTCAGGCTCCGCCCGGGCAGAGAGGTGAGCCGGACGGAGATGTGAGGTGAGGGAGGAGGAGCGGTTGTGGTTTCAAGCCGGGAGAATGCTTGTGGGAAAGAGCCCACAGGGGTGGTCCCTGTCATTGGTGATGCCGTGTCTGCTCTGGTGGCTCACTTGCCCTACAGAGAATGGACTGTTAGTGGAAAGAACGTGAGCTTCAGCCACGTGCTGAGTGGATGAGACTCTCTTCCACCACTCGGAATCGTGGTCCTGAGTGTGTTTCCTCCCCCCGTAGCCTGGGCTTATGACCCAGCCCTGCCTGGACGCACAGGAGCATTCACGATGGGGTGCTCATACAGCAACTGGCGTGATGCTCAGCGCATAGTAGGTACTCCACATCACAGAAAACTGCACCTGCCTGGTTCTGGGCTTCCAGAAGTTTCCACATCAAGGCAGATGACCTTTACCACTCTGACGCGTGCTAGCCAATCACGCAGAGCCTGCAGACTGTCTCAGCAGAGCTCACAAAAGGCCAAGTGCATCCAAGGGCAACGGGACCAGGAAGTGCGTGCAACCAGGGTGGGCAGGTACCGCAGAAGCAGGAGGTGCAGGCAGAGTCCAGGCGCAGACGTGGCCGTGCCTGCTCGGTCCGTGTCTGTAACACGCACGGAGGTGCGTCAGCCATGGCGGGGGCTGGACTGTGGTCTCCGGCACCCTGGGCAGTTGGTGGAGCTCTCAGCACCGGCCTCAAGGAGCCTGCGCTCAGGGTCGTGGGGGAAGGAAAGGGCACCTGCCCTGGGGAGGCTGGGATGCGGACGTGGGACGCGGATGTGGGCTGGTCCAGGGCTGCGAGGCACTTACAGCCAGCAGTCCTGCGGGAGGAGGCAAACAGTGCACCAAGGGCTGCGAATGGAAATATGCAGAGCCTTCCGGGACCCCAGCTCAGGGGCCCGGACCCTGCCTGGGCAGGCTGGGCAGCTGCGGGTAGCCACCTTGCTGGCTGCACTGCTTTCTAGCTGTGTGGCCTGAGGCACGTCCTCTGCATTCCCAGCCCGAGGTTCTTCAGGAAAGTCACGCCCAGTTGGGGGCCGTAAGACTAGCTCCACCTCCAGTGCGGCAGGTGGTGGCTGCCAGGAATGTGCAGGATGGCAACCAACTGAGTCAGAACCTCCTGACTGTCGGCGGGACAGGGCCCAGGAAAGGGCTCCCGTGTCCCCCCCGGGAGGGAGGCAAAAACATTCGGTCCTCGTGCTGCCAACCAGTCCATGATCAACATGTGTCTCCTCAGCACGCACTCTCTACCAGGGACGCCAGGCAGGAGGTGGCAGTGGGTCTTTGGCCAGTCAGTGCACCCCCATTGGGCTGAGTGGGCACAGAGCGGGGGAGGCCCAGCCGGGAAGGGGTCCTGGGAACAGAGCTTTCATTTCTCCAGGCATATTATGTTTTCCAAAAGCACGTCTCACCCATTACTTGACCCCTGTGAACACAACACCATCATGAACCAGACAGGACTGGTGCTATGAGCCTTACAGTTAAGGAACCAGGCCCAGAGAGGCTAAAGGACTTGCCCAATGTCACGCAGAGTGCAGCACAGGTAAAGCCAGAACCCGAGGCTTCTCGGAAGGTTTGTGAAAGCACTTTTCAAACAATGAAGTGTGACACCCCAGGGCAGTTTCTAGTTAGGACTCAGTGGGGGCTGGCGCTCTCCAGCATGCCTGGGAGTCGCTGGGCTGGGCGGCGGCGCGAGGGTGGCGGGAGCCCCGGGTGCAGGAGCTCCTCCAGGTGGGGAACTCCACCCCAGGAGCAGGGTCTGAATCCTAAAAGGCTTTGGAACATGGTGAGGGGAAAGGCCATCTGAGGACATTTTGACAACAGACTCAAAACCCCAAATAACAGAGAAGGGAGATGCAGGAGGGCTTTGGAGCGAGATGTGAGCATGGTCCTGGATCACAAACGCCTCTGGGTCCCCAGTGTGACAGGCTCTGGGGCGTCGTCCAGGAGGGAGGCTGGGCACACACCCTCGCAGGCCTCAGAGCCCAGAGACTTCGGTCAGCTGGCGCCCCCTCTTCGGCTCCCGGCTCCACACTCGTCAACGGACAAGGCTGCAGCCGTGGTCCTGGGCGCCCGTGTGGCACTGACACTCGGTGTCTGTGTGGCCTTGATTCTAAAGCTCAAAGACCTTCCCCAGGTGCTCAGTGGGTCCCCTGGAGTGGCCACTCTTGGCCCTAGCAATGTCCTCTCTCCCCTCGATCCTGCTGTCTTGGCACTGTTTGTGGTAGAAGAGGAGGCTGAACTCAGCACTGACCTCTACAACTGTTTGAACCCTCTGTTTGATTTTCGGGGCCCGCAGGCCTCCCCAAGCACACAGATCCATGGTCTCTGGACTTCACGGCAGGAAGGGCCACAGGAGGCCCTGTGTTCAGAACTGCAGGCCCAACAGCACTCACCCCTGACCCTTCAGGGGGCTGGCTGCTCCCCCAGCACCCACTGATGGGAGCTCCAGGCCATACCAGGGGCCCACGCCTGGGGCGGGCACACAGGGCGGCCATTGTCCGAGTAGTGCCTGGCACCCTCTCGTTTGCATAGCCACGTGAGGAATGCAAGGGCGCAGGCTGGGGACACGTCCCTGGGTGGGGAGTGCTGTGGGGGAGGAAGCTGGGTGGTCAGCAAGCGGCAGGACCCTGCCGTCCCCCAGTGCAGCCCAGCAAAAGCAGGTGGCCCCTAGAAATGAGGGGGCAGCTGCAGGAGGGGGCTGGCAGGAGTGGGTGTGGGGTTGTGACATTCCCCCTGCACCCACGGCAAGCAGAACGTGAGGGGACTGCTAATGAGGTCCAGCAGAGTTAAATATTCCCCGGCTCCAGAGGGCAGAGCTGGGTGGGGGGGAGAGGGAAGGTGGGTGCAAAGAGGGCGAAGCCTGAACCCCAGGAATGTGCAGAGGCCACGGCTCCCTCCCCGCCAGGCTGTGCTGGAGCTGGAAGCTGCTAAGCTAGCCAGCGAGGGGATTAACAGGCTCAACGGCCTGCCTTCCTTCAGGCTGGTGCCAGAAGGTCCGTGCTGTCTCCCACCTCACTGCCAGGCCCCTTGCTGACCGGCAGCCAGGTCTGGCCCAGCCTTGATGAGGTCCCCCTTCTGCCCCCTCAAATCTCAGACCCTACCATGCACATGACCTGGTCTGGCCTCCCCTGCCTTTGATACACATGGCCCCCAGGACCACCTCTCTGCAACACCCCTTCCCCAGCCCAGTCTCTCCATATCTGGCCTCAAACCCCTCTCCACAAAGTGCTCCCTGATGTCTTACCTGGTGCAAATTGGAATTCCATTTCCTTTCTGTCCTACTAGCAGAGAGGACAGAAAGCCCCCCGCTCAGTCCAGCCACCCAGGAGCAAAGTCCGTCATCTCAGGGTTGGTGCTTGGGGGGAATTAGGAGAAACTTAGGGCACTGGTACCAGATTCCTGAAGGGGTTTCCCTGGCAGAAAGGCCCTGAGGGCAAGCAGAGTCCTTCGTCCCAGCCCCTCCCTTCTCTATCCCTGGGGGGCAGTACGGGAAGTGGCCCCCACCTGCTCCACACCAGCTCCCCACCCCCAGGGGGCTGAACAGGAGCTCTGCTGGGACCTGCCCTGGCTTAGCCAGCTGCAGTGGGCGGGCCCCTGGCCCTGCCAGCTCCTCAGCCTCCCCCTGCATTCTAGAGCCCCAGCCGCTGCCTTTGCTGCTGCTGTGGCTGGGCTGCCACCTCTCCTTCTCAGCCTCTTGCCACCGCTGCCTGCCACCCCTGCCCGAAGCTTGGCTCACTTGGCCATGCCCCTGACCCCCCCAGGGACCCTGGCCCAGCCCTGAGCTCTGGGACCCCCAGCCCTCTCCCCTGGGCCATGGCCAACTCAGGCCTCCAGCTCCTGGGCTATTTCCTGGCCCTAGGTGGCTGGGTGGGCATCATCGCCAGTACAGCCCTCCCGCAGTGGAAGCAGTCCTCCTACGCGGGGGACGCCATCATCACCGCCGTGGGCCTCTACGAAGGGCTCTGGATGTCCTGCGCCTCCCAGAGCACCGGGCAGGTGCAGTGCAAGCTTTACGACTCGCTGCTGGCCCTGGAAGGTAGGCCCCCGGCCAGCTGAGTTGGGGGTGGTGGGGGAGGGGGAGGTCTCGAGCAAGCTTTCGCACAGTCCGCCCTCTGCTCTGCACGGGGCGTACTCTTCAGCCCCTGCCCCGTGCACATCTGATAATCCAGGTCAGGCTGGTGCCCCACGGCAGGCAGGGGCTCCAGGCTCTGGCAGCCTTGGGTTCAGATCCCAGACACTGATCCTCTCTGCGTTCCTGTATCTTCATGTGTAAAGGGAGCACTCTGACTTTTACAGGCTAATGGGAGGGTCAGGTGAGAGGAGTGCCTGGCGCTCAGAGAAGCTCAGTCAAGACCCTCCCCTCCACTTCTCATGCTCTGCAGGCAGACACATATGTGCACATGCACACACGCACAAGTGCACGCACGCACACAGGTGCTCAGGCCCACAGGTTCGTCTTCTCTCCCTCTGGGGTGTGGAATGGAACCTGAAAGTTTGGCTCATAAACAGGCGCCACTGCAGCTCCGTTCGTGGCTCTGGGCCCAGCCTCCACCCTCTGCCCCCGGCCCACAGGCCAGAGCTGGCCGCCCCCTGCCACACCAGTCCAGGAAGATCACCCGGCCACCCTGTTCCCCTCAGCCAAGCCCAGGCTGACCCAAGCGGCAGGCACACGACTGCCATGGTGACTCACAGGCCAGAGAGGAAGGTGATGGGAACCAGGATGGCCGGTGAGGGTTGGCATCCTTGCCCAAGGGCCACCTGGGCTGAATGGGGTCTCAGACGCCCTTAGTTCCTCCTTTTGCTGAACTCGAAAAGCCCCAGGAGAAGCTGCCCCTGCTGCTTGGGTGGGCAGGACCGGTCCAGAAGGGCACCCCCAGCCAGAACGCAGCTGATGAGAGTGCAGACTGCCCCGTCGCCACATGCCGCCCAGAGGAGCCTGCAAGCGAGAGGGAGCAGTGGGGAAGCTCGGCTTCACCCCTGTTTCAGGACCCTCCTACTGCCCGGTGCGGGGGGCGGGGGGCAGTCCAGGAGGAGCTCCCAGGTCCTGCTCCAGCCCCTCCCATGCTGGGCTCCACCCCCCCCCACCTCTCCCACCACTGGCTCAGTCCCTCCTGCCCCCAGGGCACATCCAGTCAGCTCGAGCCCTCATGGTGGTGGCCGTGCTCCTGGGCTTCGTGGCCATGGTCCTCAGTGTCATCGGCATGAAGTGCACCCGGGTCGGAGACAGCAACCCCATCGCCAAGGGCCGCATCGCCATCTCCGGGGGCGCCCTCTTCCTCTTGGCAGGTGAGTGCTCCTGGCTGTTTCTCCACCAGCCTGGCCATGGCAGGGAGCCCCGCCCTGCTGGCCAAGCCGGGGCAGAGCTGAGCACCCCCCTCTGTCCTCAGGCCTCTGCACCTTGACTGCAGTCTCCTGGTATGCTACCCTGGTGACTCAGGAGTTCTTCAACCCGAGCACACCTGTCAATGCCAGGTGAGTGCCAAGGAGCCACTGACCTTCGTCCTGCAGGGTACGTGGAGGGGGAGTCGGGGGCCAGCCCCAGGTGCTGCCACTGAGAAGCTCCCTGGAGCAGGGGACCAGGAAGGGTGTGGCTGGGCCCCCCGAAGGAGCAGGAGGTCTGTGGAGGACACCCCAGGAGCTAAGCGCCTGGCTCTGGACTTAAGTCCCAGCTCTGCACGTGCTGGCTGTGTGCCGGTGCCAGTCCCTCAGTCCTTCCTTCCTTGCTGGTTCCCTCCCTGTACCACGGAGCTGGGACCCAAGGACCCAGCTCACACGTGGTGGTGAGGGTTCAGTAAGATGGGTGGGTAGGGGACTTGGCACAGTGTGCGGGCCCTGGGGAGCACTCAGCCAAGCCCCGCTGCTGTCACTCCTGCTGGAGGAGGAACCTGGGGTGGGAAGGGGGTGGCTGACCAACCCTCCAGCCGTGCTGCGAAGAATGGTGGGGAAGGGGCAAGGCCAGTGAGGTGCTGTTGCAAAGTCTGGAGCAGAGGGCTTGGGCCTGTGCAGGGGCGAGCAGTGGAGAGTAGGTCAGAGATATTTCCAGGGCAGAATGGTCAGGACGTGTACAGCCAAGGGCGTGGGGGCTGAATAGGGGGCTCTGTGAAGAGACTGGGCCCCTACGGGCCAGGAGCAGTGAATGGGATCATCTGGACCCCAGACATCCCCACTGGCCTTGAGTGGGAAGGGGGCGGAGGATAAGAAAAGATGTCTGGGCTGCTGCTGTTGGGAGGGCTCCCTGGAGGAGGAGGAGGAGGAGGGATGGAGAGGAAAAAGAATGAGACCTCCGCTGTGCTCCCTGAGGCTGGCCGCTCTGGCCACGAAGACCTGCCAAGTAAGAGGCAGCTCAGCTTGGGGATGCCAGGCTGGTACTGCCCCTTCATCCCTTCAACACTCCCCAAGGCCACCTGGGCAGCTGGTCCTGTGCTGGGCCCTGGGGATACCGACAAGTCCGGTGTGGTCTGCCCTCGAGGTCCTCCCCAGGGAGCTGAGCAGGCAGGGGACCGAATGGCCACCTAGTGTGTCAGCGCAACTGGGGGAGTACAGAGGGGTCTGGGAAATTGCCCTCCAAGAGGTGGTTTCTTAGTGGGCCGTGAGGGCTGAGCGCAGTAGGCACAGAACAGAGACACTCCAGGAGGGGGCGCCTGGTGCAAAGGCACAGACTCGGGGAGGCGCAGGGCACCTCCGGGCAGGCTGGCTGCCAGGGCCTGGGCGTGGAGAGCCTGGACTGCCAGGTGGAGTGGGGTCTGCCCTTCTCCAGGGGGCAGTGGGGAGCCCTGGCTGGGATTTCTGTAGGCCAGACCGTGACTGCAAGAGACGGCAGGGACTGCACTACTCTCCCCACAAGACGTGTGGGCCCTCCCTCACCCCCTCCAAGGGCCGGCTGAGGAAAGGGGCCGAGGTTGCACAGGATCGCCTTGCTGGATTGGGGTCAGAGCAAGGATGAGCATTGATCCCGGCTTATCCTGAGAGGCTGCTAAGGCTTGTGAGGGCTCCTGTCTCGGCTCCTCACTCCCTGCCTGCCTCCTGCCAGGGCCAAGGCTAGGGAGACCCCGGTGAAGACTGAGGCAGCTGGGGTGGCACCCTCACCTGATGGCATCCTCCCTTACCCCTTGCAGGTACGAGTTCGGCCCTGCTCTGTTCGTGGGCTGGGCCTCTGCTGGCCTGGCCCTGCTGGGGGGCTCCTTCCTCTGCTGCACATGCCCAGAGCCTGAGAGAGTCAACAGCAGCCCACAGCCCTACCGGCCGGGCCCCTCAGCTGCTGCCCGAGAGTACGTCTGAGCCCGCCAGCCCCAGCCAGCCCCAGCCAGCAGTCTCCCACCCAGCACTCCGAGGCCCCTGCAGCACCCTGGGCAGGCCCAGGAGGACACAGGGTATCCCCTGAGCTCGGATGGGGCTCTGAGCAGTTTGTCCCCAACATAGGAACCCACCCCTTGCTCTGAGACCCAGTCACTCAGAGAGAGGCCAGAGCAGGACCTAGCCCACAGGTGCACGCGCAGGTCCAGGTGTACACGCAGGTCCAGGTGCGGGCATGGGCCTGGCCACACAGTCTCTTGGCACCTTCGTGTTCCCCCATGGTCCAGGGCCCCCGCCTTCACTGACAGCTTATTGATTCACTCAAGGGCAGCTTGAGTGCCATGCTGGGCCCTGTGGACAAAGCAACTAAAATGGACCTTGGCTTCTCACAGCCTCCCTATGAAGGAGACAGTGCTGGCATGACAAATGTCCCCACATGACACACGAGGAAACAGGTTCATGTGCGGCTTGGCCCCATGGTCTCTGAGTTCAGGGCTCAGCTCTCGGCGCGCCCAGCCTGGCGTGGATAGCCGCACAGAGGGCTGGGCCGGACCGGGCCTCGTCACCCCCACCCCAGGAGTGGGCCCCAGGCAGGGCCGCTGCAACGCCCGTCTGACCCCACTGGCCAGTCCCCGGGCCTGGGCCTGAACCCCAGAGCGCCCACCCCTCCTTCCCCCACCACGGCTGCTCACCCCACTAACCAGCTCTCCTCTCTTTTGACTTTCAGACCAATTCTTAAATTGTCGGCCTCCTCCAAGGCCCCCCTGGGTGTGTAGTGTCCCAGTCCCCGCCTGACCCTGCATCCTTGCCACACCTACACTGTGTGTGTGGCCTTGTTTTGGAAAGAGAAGTGAACGTCCAGCCCCTGTGTGGTGTTGTTTGATCTGCTCCTGGCGTAGTCAGCGTGTGGGCTGGTCTGGCGAAGTCAGAGCTGTTCCCAGGGGTTGTTGGGCATAGAGACGGGGAGACGGAGGCCCAGGGTGGGTCGTATAGCAGGGCTGAGGCTGACCAGGACTCCTGCCCCCTGGCCTGTGACCTCCTGAGGCTGGCCTTGGGCTGGCACCAGGACCTCCTTGATGGGAGGCCCCATCCTGAGGCCTGGCCCGGCACTGGGCCCGCCCCCAGGTCAGCCAGCCCTTGGTCTAAAGACAGACAGTCCCACCCCTGTTACTCAGCCTGCCCCTCAGAGCCCCCCTTGGGGAACCCCCTGGGAGAAGGGAGAGTCCCTGAGAGGCCCTCCAGCTGGGTTCCGGGGATCAGAGCCAGGACGAGGAGACGCTAAGTGGGGAAGGTACGGAGGCAGGAAGGTACGCGAGGCCTCTCAGGCGTTAGGACCATCCCGAGGAAGGTTGGAAGCCCCAGGCTTGGCTTCGCCCCAATGCTGCTCCTGTTCTTCGCCCACCGTTCCTCTTCTCCAGTCTGCTGCGGCCCCTTACCTCCCCCGGCCCCAGAACCAGAGCAGGGGGAGCCAGAGGGCGGCTGGAGCACCAGCCCACTCGGAGGTACAGTCAGAACTGGACGGGTTATTGGTCTTGCAGTTCAGGTGACTGGCCCCTCCTCTGAGAGCGGGGAGCCTTCTGATCAGTTCCTGCCCTCAGGCGCAGGCCTCCCCCACCCCGAACGCCCTCCTGGGACCCTGAGTCCCTCTCCGGCCACTGCCTTCCCTCTCTCATGGGGGAAGAGCTGAGCGTGCCTGCCGCCGCCTTCCTGATGCCCTCACCCGGCTTCCTCCACCGCCTTCCTGCCACCACGTCTCACCCAGTCGAAAACCCCAAGGACAGAGCCCAGCCTTCTCCCTGAGCCTGACGCTGAGAGGTGGACTCTGACAACTGGCCGTCGGGGACGTTACAGGGGAGGGAAGGCGGGGAAGAGCGAGGAGCCGCCTTGGGACAATTCCTGTGGCCCCTGGCGGGCAGCCGCCACACAGCCAAGTAGCCTTGGGAATAAACGGCTGCTGCAGGAGGCCAGTCGGGCCTGTGGCCAGAGGGGGTGGCCGGAGGGTGACCCTAAATGAGTTTACTGGACTCCTGACCCTCGAGCCACGACTGAGAACTACGAAAGAGTCTGTCTGGGAGCCTGTGCTAAAACCCCGCGGTTCTCACTTCTGGGGCACATTCGAGTCGCCTGGGGAGCTGAGGCCTGGGCTCCACCCCCGACGCCCCCACTGAATTGGCCTCTGGGTTCAGGCACCTCCATGGGACCACAGTGTGTGGGCAGCACCTCTGTGAGGCCTAAAGTCGGGGCCGAGTTCTTTGCCCCTCTGACGGGTCTTGGAGGGAGGAAGGTGCCTACGAGAAGAGGGGAGGAGGGGAAAGACGAGAGGAAGCCCTGTCTCCCTGGGCTTCCTAGACCAGGCCCTCCCACGAGAGTCCTGCAGTCTCCCAATAAATGCACCACCTGTGCTGAACAATGCTGAGTTTGATTTCTGTCCCACACAGCAAGAGAGCCCTGACTCACAGCAAATTTGGAACCTGGGATCTGAGTGTCACAGTGAAGGCTCCTGTCACAGGTGCTGGCCGAGTGGGGTGGGACGTGGGGCTGCAAGGCTTGGCCTCCCCGCTGGGCTGGGGGTTGGGCAGTCCCTGCTGTCTGGTCCTGAAGCGGCTGCCAGGACACCGTGTGTCATCTCCTACTAGGTTCGGTGTCTACCAGAAGACCGTCACCGAGCAAGGGGCCAGGCCCACACACACAGAAACCAAAACTATGGCACCCGCTTTTGAGAAAAGAAAGGAGCTTTATTTGCCAGTCTTCGGGCAAAGAGACGGCAGACATGACATCAAATCTGTCTTCCTCAGTCCAGGATATGGGACAGGATTTTAAGGGGTAACTGTTAGGGGTTCATAAGTGTTTCCCAAGTGTTACTCGTAAGCTGAGTATCCAAGGGTTAAACTTTTGTTCTGGGTCTTGTTAGAAACAAGAAGGAACCTGGTCCTTCAGTCACAGGACGTGGTAGGAAGATGTCGAGACAGAACCAGCTGGCAGCTCGCTCAGGGTTCCAGGGACAGGCTGTGAGACAGCCACGCTCCATGCCAGGGGCGGGCCTGACAGCCAGGCAGGGACAACTTCCGTGGGGTCCTCTCTGAAGGGAAGCCAGAGACTGCAGAGGCGAAGGGCCGGCTGGCCACCTGCAACCCAGGGAACACCAGTGAGCAGCGCAGCGGGTGCCGGCAATGGGAAGATGTCCGGGAGAAGCGAGGAGGGCTGGAAGCTGGAAGAGTTTGGGAATCTGACCCCCGGGCCTCTCTTGAGGCAACCTCTTTCAGGTCTATGGGTCGCCTGGGCGACTCTGCTGGCCTGAGGGCTGGAATTCCTGCCCTCAAGGCTGGATAATTCGCAGGAGACAAAGGCTATGATTCTAAAGCATCTGCCATCGCTTATTTGCAACATGGCTCCTCCAAGAACGAACCTGGCCGGGGGAGGAATACACCTGAGTGCCCCTGAGGGGGAGTGAGGCGGGCCTGAAGTAGCAGGTCAGGGGGCCGTCTGTTGCCCCTGAGGATGTGCATATGGACTGTTAGAGGACGGCAAGGAATTATGGTTAGTTCTGTGTTACAAGTACTGTTCATTTTGTGTGCTGCTGACACTGTGGTTCCTTTTTTTTAACCCTTATCTGTCAGAAGTGCACACTGACACGACATAATGGCTGACTTTGCTTGAAACTATTCTAGGAACAAAAAGGTCAGGGGCAGGGGTATTTATTGGTAAGACTAGTAACCATCGGTACTTAGGGGTTCACTCTGTTCTTCTGTGTGGGCGTTCGCAAGTGAGACGCATACAATGTTAAGAATCCCTCCAAGTTTTTCAGATTATCCCACTTCAGTTTACGGCGGTGACACGCAGCAGCTGTATCTGAATCAGGTGATAAGAGTTAACACCTCTAGGAACCGCAACAAGTCAAAATTGCGCATCCCTTGGTAGAATGCACCAAACAGCCTCATTTAAATGATGTTCCTGCTGGAGGTACATACACTGAATGTACTGAAGAAGACAAGACAGGAGACTCGAAGTTGAGGTTACTCTACAAAATAACAACCATGCAAGTTACGAAGGACAAAGAAAGACCGAGGAGACCAGAGAGAGGGAGCCGAGTGCTGCGGGTGATCATGCACCAGATCCTGGACCGGAACGGACATTCTCGGGCTGACCAGTGAGATTCACATGGTGTTTGTGGTTTACCTGGTGCTGTGTCAACGGTGTCTGAGCTGGACAGTTCACGGTGGTTTTGTAATGTCCTTGTATGTCAGGAAATACACACTGAAGTAGTAAGACGATGAGGAGGCCTCAGAAAAAGCCTTCATAGATGCACATGAAGACAGCCAGGCAAATATTTGCAGTATAATATTAATTAAGCAACCTGAGTGAAGGGCATACAGGAGTTCTCTGAACTAATAAAAATCTTTATTTCACCCGCCAGGGCTATAAGCATCTTATTCTTTCTTTTTTAAAAAATATATTGTTAAAAGATTTTATTTATTATTTATTTTTAGAGAGAGGGAAAGGGAAGGAGAAACATAAAGAGAGAAACATCAATGTGTGGTTGCCTCTCGGGTGCCCCCTAACGGGGACCCGGCCCACAACCCAGGCAAGTGCCCTGACTGGGAATCAAACTGGTGGCCCTTTGGTTCGCAGGCTAAAAACATCTTTTTTTTTTTTTTTTAAATTTTATTTAGTTACTTTTCAAGTACATTTTTTTTCTCTTCCCCCCCCCTAAAAACATCTTTAAGACAGTTATTTAATAATCTTTGTCTAGTGCATCAGCTACCAGGTCTTTCTCAGGGGACAGTGTCTGCTGATTTATTTGTTTTTTGGAATGGGCCACATGTCTTTGTTTGCATGTCTTGTGATATTTATTGTTACTGTAGTATTGTTTTTAAAAACCAGTCATTTGGGCCCTGGTTGGTGTGGCTCAGTGAGTTGGCCTACAAACCAAAAAGTCACCAGTTCAATTCCCAGTCAGGGCGCATGCCTGGGTTGTAGGCCAGGTCCCCCGTTGGAGGAGGCAACCAATTGATGTTTCTCTTGCACATTGATTTTTTTCCCTCTCTTTCTCCATCCCTTTCTCTCTAAAAAAATTAATAAAATCTTTTTTAAGAAGCAACCCTGGTCATCTAATAATGTGGTAACTCTGGAAATCAAATGTCGTTCTGCCCTAAGTTTGCAGTATTTGTTGTTACTGTTTTCATTGCTCTAGGCTGTCTCTAAGTCAAATACTGGCCTAAGGTGTAAATTCAAAGTCTTTTCCGATTGTATCTGAACCTGTGACTCTCCTTGGATGTGGGCAGCGACTTTCTAATTTCCTCCATGTCTGTGGTTGCCTTCAATGGTTCCCTAGTCTCTAATGTCTGGCTCCTAAAAAGAGAAAAAGACTAAAACCAATGGGGTGGAGGGAGGCACCAGGCCTTCGTAGCCCCTGGAAGTCACTTCGGCTGGCGGAGAGGGATGCAGCGAGGGGGCAGGTGCAACAACAATGGCCGCCGCCTCTGTGTCTGCACCTCCTTGCTCGGAGGGAGCAGTAAACGACCAGAACACAGAGCCCTGTTATTGGGAGGACAGGGTCCTCATTGCCCACCCTGGCTCTGCAAACTGCGTGCAGGGCTCCAGGCACGTGCACACGACTGCCTGCCACAGGGTTGGGCTGCACGGAGGGTGAGCAGCTGCTGCAGAGCTAAGGGCTGAAACTCCCAAAGTGAACCCCAGTTTACTGTCTAAGCCTTCTCTGGAATGTCGCGAGTTTTCCACAGACTGCAGAATTCCAGAATAGCCACAGCAGACCAATTCGGCCAGTGTCCTTGTCTCGGTTGGGGATGGATTCCAGGTGCATCATACTCAGCTTTCTTCCCATAATCTTATCTCACTTCCTTACT